AGCCAATCTGGCGCCAATCTGGCAGGCCCAATCTGGCAAACGGGGGCAATCTGGCGAGGGAGCCAACGCGAATCCAGTCTGGCGAATCACCCAAATCATCCAGTTTGGCCGGGCCAGATGGGCCCTTGGGGCCCAATCCAATCTGACAGTCTGGCCTTCGACTACCCAGTTACGGGAACAAAAAGTGGCACATAAACTTAAAAGACTCAGAGGTCCGCGCGGACTTCTCGCATCGGCGCGGGGGGCCCCCCCGGCAATGCGCCTCCGGCGCCGCCCCTGGCGCGTTCCGCGCGCCAGGGAAGGGGGGGCCCAGCGCCGACCCGAGAAGTCCGCGCGGACCTCCGAGCCTCTTCATGCTTGTGTGCCACCTCTCTCGCTCCCCTGTAGTTCTCCAGGGGGGAGCTGGGGGGTAGCGCGCCGCCTTTTGCCCTTTTCTCGGGTCGGCGAGGGCCGCCTCGCCAGCTCGACACGTCGCCCTCTCGAGGGCTCGGGGGGCCGGCTGCTCTCCCGTGGGGCACCCTCGCCTGACCTTCCAGAGAGCTATTTTTTAGCACTGGAGACCTAAAAACTTAAAAAGCTGAGCGAAACAGCTTCAAACCAAGACGTAGAATAGCTTTGGGATAGGTTTTTAGGTCGGGTGCTATTTTTTAGCCCTCCTGGAAGGTCAGGGTCGCCGAGCTCTCTTCTGCCAGGCGTCGGGCCGTCCCCCCCCGCCGGGGGGGGGAAGGCGCGGCGCGCGCCCTCCGAGAGATCCCTGCGCGGGGTCTCTCGGGAGGTGCCCTGCTGGGGGGGCCACAGGCGAACCCTGCCCCTACCTGCCCCCCGCGATTTCTGGGGGGGGGGAGGGAGGGGGGATCGCTTCGCTCGGGAGCTCCCCACAATTTCTGGGGGGGGGAGGGGGGGGGGGCCACTTCACTCGGGAGCTCCCCACGATTTGGGGGGGGGGAGGGGGGGGTGTTCAGAGCTCCCGAGCGAAGTGAACCCGCCCCCTCCCCCCCCCCCCCAGAAATCGTGGGGGGTAGGGGTAGGGTTCGCATGTGGCCCCCCTAGCATGCTGCAGTCGGTGCCCTTTCCTGGGGCTCTGGGCTGGGTCGCGCACACAGCTCCCTGAAGACTACGTAAGAGGGATCCAGACTGGAAGCCGGCAACACGTGCTGGCCCGTTTCCTCTCCAGAGCTCCCGGTCAGGCATCGCCGCAGCAGGTTGCGGGAACTTGCAGCGTGTCCCGAGAGCGTTTTCCGACTCGTTCCCAATGCGCGTGCCGGAAGCCTTTGCTAAGCTCTTTCGAAGCGTGTCGGAGGCTCGTGCGGAGCTCCTACTAGGAAGGTTGCGAGCTCTCCAGGCATCATTTCAGGCGTCATTGCAAGCGTCTCCGACAAGCTGTCCAGCCCTAAGGGATGCTTTCAAGCGTCCTTGCAAGCGTCTCCTACATGCTTTCACGCGTTTCTTGGGGCGCCCCGCTATCCAGGTTTGGGACCCCACAAGTTGCCTGTGCCCGCACAAGCTTGCGCGTAGCGCAGTTTTTCCGCTCCGGCCCGACGGGCCGAACTCGCAGGGGGAGGGACAATATCCTCATCCACCTTCTCCTCCGCCCCTCTCCTCCTCCGCCCACGTTACCCCACGTCCTCACCCCCTGCCCCTCGCCCCCCTCCTCTTCCCAACCCTACCCTTCCACCCACCTCCTCCACCACCACCTCGTCCTACGGCCCCTCCTCCCCACCCTCCTCTTCCTCCTCCTGGTGGTCTTCCTCTCCCTCCTCGTCATCTTCCTTCTGACCCTCCTCTTCCTCTCCTCCTCCGCCTCCTCCTCCTCCCGCTTCTTCCTCCTCCTCCTCCTCCTCCTCCTCCTCCTCCTCCTCCACTCTTGCCTCCTCCTCCTCCTCCCGCCTCCTCCTCCTCCTCCTCCTCTCCTCCTCTTCCTCCTCCTCCTCCTCCTCCTCCTCCTCCTCCCGCTTCCTCCTCCCCCTCCCCCTCATCACACAAGGGACACGCCTTGGCGATGGTCCGCACCGTCCTGCTCGGGAGCAAGTGGCCCTGCCGCT